TTATTAAAAAAGAAAACTGAAATTGTTTCAAAATTAATAAATGAATTTTAAAAATTAGATTAATGATTTATTATTAATTTTATATTAAAAAAGAAATCAAAATCAGCCAATGAAAAATTCATATGGGATTGTACATCATTAATTGAAAGGTTGTTGTAACTTAATGAATTCCTACTACCTACCTATCGTAGTTACTAATTTCTACATGAGAGGAAAAGACCCATGAAGCATCACCACTCTCTACTGTCTACTCCTCCCATCACAAATATGAGCCTCATCACCGTGAAAGAATCCATTCTAATCCGCCCATCGAAACCGACTCGAAAGCATCGTCTTTGGCTCTCACACCTTGACTTTGTAGGCTCAACTCATGCCCATATTCCTGTCATTTACATTTATACCCACCCAAAGTAATAATAACACTTCCTCAAAAGTGTGATTAGACACAGATGTTATAAAAGAGTAGCGAAATACTAGTACCATTCTATCCGGTAGCAGGCCGGTTAATTAAGAATGAGAAGAATGGCCGAATCGAGATCGATTGCAATGCTGCAGGAGTGTTATTCGAAGAGGCCAAAACAACATATCCGCTTGCTCATTACGGAGATTTTAAGCCCAACTCGGAGCTTCGTAAGTTGGTGTTGCCTACATGCGACTACACGGGTGGACTCTCGTCATTACTGCTGTTATTAACAAAACTCACTCGCTTCAAATGCGGTGCTGTATGTCTTGCCCGTGTTACACATCATTTTATTGCTGATGGAATCGGGCAAACCTACTTCTTTAACTCATGGGCGATGCTCGCCCGAGGAGATAACCTCGCGGTTTTGCCTGTTCATGAAAGGTCTGTCTACTTGAGCCCTCGTGACCCACCTCAGATCAAGTTCAACCACATACAGTTCGAGCCGCCCTCGCCACCCTTACCGCTCAAAGGGATATCATCGGGCAGGTAAGTTTGTTTATCACATGTCATTTTGGTAAATAAATCAAAATTTTATGTCGTCATTCTCAGTTGGGGGAACCACTTTTAATGGAAAACTTGTTTATTTATTTACGAAAATGTTATGATCTTATGAAGTGAACAAAAACTATTTATCTAGAAAAACTTGTATTTTATGATAAAAAAAAATGTTACTTCCATTCGTTTTTTTAAGTGTTATATTTGGATTTTTAAAAATTATATACGTACACCACTTTACCCAATGTTCATACTTTACACACAAGATTAAGTACAATCATTTAGGTGATGTATGTGTCAGAGTCGTCTAAACAATTTTTTTTCAAACATTAATTTTTGATAATTCATATTATTATATCATTGGTCAAAATTTCGTTATAGCAATTAATGTATTGGTTAAAGTGAAATACATTTTAAAATATAGAAAGGATATTAAATATTAACGATAAAAAACAAAAAAAAAAATTGTGCAATGACAGAATATAATTTTTTTTTTTTTTTGTTCTATAGAGAAAGATTAATTACCCTTAGGCACCATAGGTGAATATAAAATTCAAACTAAACATATATGGAATGATTTGTTTTTTTTTTTTCTTTTTTTTGGTGATTCACTCGGTTCACCCTTAGATAATCCGGATTTGGGGATTAGTTCTGATGGTTAGGTTCTAGTCCCCTCCCAATTGTTGTTGCTGGGGATCGAACACGGGTCCTCCCTACCAAGTGCAGTCCTAATCACCACTGTACCAACAACCAATTGGTAGATGGAATTATTTGTAAATGTATGTATTATGATTCACATACTACTATCTATATATCAGCAAAACTTGTTAATATAGGGGTGTTGCGGTCTTTTCAACTATGTTAGTGAGGGGCAAAATTGTAAGAACAAGGATTCTAGCTCATTCTCGTAATTCGAGCCCCGTTATCATCGTCAATTCGCCTTCAAGCTTCAAACAAGGCAAACTCTTGTGGTTGCCTTCAATGGAGAATGAAAAGAGTATCTTCATTGGTGAAGCAATGAAAGCTCATCTTTAATGGTGGAAACAATGGAGAAGTTTAACACCTACCCTTTGGGATTAATTATACCCTAAATTACTCTTTTTTACTTAAGGTTGTCGTTTAATTTGGCGGCGAAGCCACCAGTAGTGTTTGAGATTTGCCGTTAGTAGTGTCTGATCAGATTGACGTGCATTCCTTCTCAGGGAAAAAGGTGGGTTTCACTTTGGGGGCGTTGTTTCTCTCTCCTCCTTCCCAAATTTACCCACAAATGGGCACAACAGAGTCCACCTCAGCTTTTCATTATTTTATCAATACTTTTTCAAAAGTCTTGCCTATTATTTACAACACTGCCTTGATATTAACAATGTTTGTTGAAATCTGATATCAATGGGGACCGACTCTAGGTGAAATTGCTACTACAACTGACGGTCTCTTTAAATTCACTAAACATCAAATTGATGCATTAAAAGTACAAGCAATATCCCCTGAAATAGAAAGCTACAAAGCAAGCACATTTGAAGTGTTAACCGGGCATGTGTGGCGGAGCACTCGTAAGGCCCGTGGCTTAACCGGTGATCAATGCGTGAAGCTCTACATCGTAACTGACGGACGTTCAAGGCTAAAGGATCCAACCTTACCAGAAGGATACTTCGGAAATGTAACCATGAAGACAGTTTGCATTGCTAAAGCAGAATAAGTCACTTGTATACCATTGTGGTATGTAGCCAAAATGGTTCACAAAGCACTAAAAAGAATAGAAGATTCGGAGTATTGGAAATCTTGCATTGATTACCTAGAATCACAACCTGATGTAATGGCTCCTATAATGTACCACTCCCTCTGTTTTTTTTTTTAAATACATCATTTTGATAATTGCACTATTAACATACCATGGTTAACTTAATTTTTTCACCTTTATAAAATACATAGATGTTATTATATTATATATTATTAGATTAGTCATAATGTCTAGTCTATACTAATATATTAAAAGGCGTTCCTAAAAACGTCTCTATGTCACGTAGACCTCCTCACTATGCCACGTCACTCACTCAACTCCTTATTATGCCACGTCATCCACTCAATTCCTCAATATGCCACGTCACCCTCACTACCAACAATACTTCATGTTGCCTCAACTATATTGAAAAAAAATCTATGGATGAAAAGGTTCAAACACATGACTTCCTTAAAGCAATGTTATTGTTTAACCATCTAAGCTAATAGTCAATTATGCTTTAATGTTGCACACTAAATAATATTATACTATAAAAGTATTGAAAATACATACTACATACACACTATTAAATATTTAAATGCTCTTAAAAATTAGTAGTTGCACAAATACAAAAGTAGTATCCTGGGGTAACGCCCGAGCTACTCACTAGTTTTATAATATAATTTTGTTACATTTTTTACTAATAGTCAATTAAAGATATTATAATGAACAAAGTTGTGTATCGGCAAATGTACTGGTCAAGCTGATGTATTTAAAAAAAACAAAGGAAGTACGATTTACGAAGTATCTATATTTCTTCATCTGTGTCATAATATGAAAGTTGTTCATAAAGAAGGGAGTAGCGAAATTCCATAAACTGCAGTAGTTGAAGTATTTTGTAGCCACAATTTTCTTTGTATTATGCTCTAGGGGTGAGAAAAAAATAAGTATACCCTGAATTGAAACCCGGACCTGTTAGAAATCGCACCTGAATCGAAATCAGAACCTGTTAAGAACCACAAGTTCTTGAACCGGAACTTGTACAAGTGGTTCCGGTTTCGAGTAGCAAAATGGAGAACCTGTTGCAACAAGTTTCGATTCAAGTTCTAACTTTTTTGGAACCGGAACCTGTAGGGTACCCTGTAACCTGATAAAAGTATCACTTAATTTAAAATTACTCCCTCCGTTTTTTTTATTTGCATCACTTGAAAATGCATGGAGTTTTAGAAGAGTAATATAATATGTAAGTGGGTAAATAAATTATTATAGTAAAAGGAAGATGGAGATTATGAAAGAGAATGTATGTGAGATAGGATAGATATTTTTATTATTTAAGTGGGGACCGTGGAAGAGAGAAATGATAAAATAATTTGAGTAAAATTTAAAGCAAGAGAGAGAAATGATAAAATATAATATAAAGCTACCAAATATAGAAGTGATGCATTTAAAAAAAACACCCATAAAAGGGAAGTGATGCAAATAAAAAAAAGGAGAGAGTATACACCAATTCTAACTTATTTTTTAAATAATAAATATCAAACTAACAATTATAAATATATGTATTGAATTTGTTAGACAATTACTATTAGTTTATTTTATTTGCAAGTTGTAAACATTATAAATTAGTGACCAACTAGCATAATTTTTATAAAAAAATAACCACAAAAAGTTAATAAGTATATTACAAGACATGGTACCTTAAATCGGAATCGGAACCGCAAAAAGTTAGTGAGCACTTCTAGCTTAATTGGTATTCCCTCTGTATTTTATCACTTGCTCCACTTTCCTTTTACGGCCATATTTTATTACTTGTTTCATTTTCTTTTGGAAACATTTTACAATATTTTATTAATTTCTTCTCTCTACTAGATCTCCAACTATCATACTTTAATATTTTCAGATTCTCTCTCCTTTAACTATCATACTTTATTCTTCCACTAACCACAATTCCTTCATATATTATTGCTTATATTATTTCTCCTAAAACTCCGCGCATGAAAAAATAGAGCAAGTAATAAAATACGAGGAAGTATGACTTATACATTCTCATCTTATTTCCTAAATCATTATATCCTTCTTTTTCTCTATCTTAAAGTCTTACCTTTGACTACTCCATATTAGAGATATCTCTCTTGATATCAATATTATTATGAAATCCTGTTTGATTTTTAATTTGTGAATCATAGAGATTGTACTTGTGAATCACAGAGATTGTATTAGGATCATTCTCATGTAACACTACTATAAATAGTTGTATACTCTCATCAATATAATTAAGCTTTCTCATAAGTCTAAACCTAACATCTTAGATTATTAAGGTCAAGCATGAGGATCAAGGTTCATGGAAGCCCATTCTCCGGAGCCACACTCCGAGTTGTGGCTGCTCTTCATGAAAAAGAGCTCGACTTTGAATTCGTTTCAGTCGACATGAAATCCGGTGCTCACAAACAACAACCTTATCTTTCTCTTAATGTAAGTTTTCTCTTGTTTCTTGTCAATCTGTCTTCTATTTTTATCTCCCAAGTTTGTAATTTGACTTATAGACAATATTGTATGTATATGACCTCAACATTATCTAATAAAGAGTATATGCATGTTAATAATTAGGAGCTGTATATTTCTTCAAAAAATAAAAATAAATAAATAAATTGGAGCTGTACTTGTAAAAATACTCGTAGAGGACCAACTCAACCAAAAGTTTAATCTTATGGCTGAGGTCAAAAAATATGTTTTATACTCTATCACATGACCCTTAATTTGATTATGTGAAAGCTTATTTTTCTTACCATATAATTTCAGCCATTTGGTCAAGTACCAGCATTTGAAGATGGAGAATTCAAGCTTTTTGGTGAGTTACCTTGCATATCTATCGAATTATACTACAATTATGACTACATATGCATTCATATTTATTTCCATGTTCTCAAACAGAATCAAGAGCAATTACGAAATACTTAACATACGCTTACAAAAGCAAGGGGACTGCATTGGTGTTTGAAGACTTGAAGCAAAAGGCGATTCGATCTGTTTGGATGGAGGTTGAGGCTCTCCAATTTGATCCACCAGCAAGGACTCTTACTTGGGAGATTTTCTTAAAGGGCATGTTTGGGATGGAAACCGATATGGCTATAGTCGAGGAGAACAAGGCTAAGTTAGCTAAGGTCCTTGATGTTTATGAGGCCCGTTTAGGCGAGTCCAAGTACTTGGGTGGTGAAATATTCACCTTGGTTGATCTTCATCACTTGCCTCAATTGCATATGCTAATGGGCACTCGAGTGAAGAAGATTTTCGAGGAGCGCCCGTGTGTTAGTGCTTGGTGTAAGGATATCTTGGCTAGGCCAGCTTGGGAAAAGACTGTGGCCTTGCAAAACAAAGCTTAAGGGATTACATTCTCAATGACAATTAATATTGCTTATGAAAGAATGTAATTGGCATTATGTTAGCAAAATTTGTTTGTTTATGATGATGATATTTGAAGGCTAAAATTATGGACATCTCCTATTTTCTGTCTATTGTGAGTATTGGATTTTGCCCGCTTTGTCTTCACCAGTTTTATTGGGCCTACTACAAGATTTTATGGCCCAAGACTGTCTATATTGGTTTACAACTATCCACTTTATTCGACTTTATAATGGGTTCACACTTCACAAGATCAATGTGACCACTTAGAGATTATCTGTGGTATATTTTTTATGAGAAGCTATTGGGTGAGAATAATTTTACCAATTACTTCATGAGAGCAACACAAAATAAAGAAAAATCAATCTTTAAAAATGTTAAATTAATTACAATGATAACGTCCAAATAGTTACTAATGTCATCCAAATAATTAACCATGTCAACCAATCTGCACATTCAGATATCATCAAAACAATTAACCATAACATCTAGCCTACACATTAAAAATATCATCCAAACAATTAACCATGTCATCCAGCCTACACATTCAAGAAATCATCCAAACAATTAACCATGTCATCCAGCCTACACATTAAGGATATCATCCAAACAATTAACCATGTATCGAAGTAGTTACTGTTATCATCCAAATAATTAATCATATCATTCAAGTAGTTTACTGATTTCAATCAAATAATTAATCATGTCATCCAACCAATAATTTAATTAGTTTAATGCATTATAAAATAATTTAAAATCTAAATTTTAAAAAGAAAAGTTGATGATAGTTTGAAACGAGCAATATCAAGTCTTTTCGGAATGTATATATCATTCTCACAATATATTTTTTTTTTCTTTTTTTTTTCAAGTTAAGATAAAGAATAAAAAGAAATTTCTCCTCACGAAGAGAATTCTTAATGTTTCAAGAGAAAGAATAGTAGATAGACAAGAGTTAATACAAATGTCAATACCAAATGACCTACATTAGCAATGAAATCAGAAGTCCAATTAGCCTCTCCATAGATGTGATGAATAATCTAATTGTGAAACTGAGTGAGAAGAAAATGAGTGTATCCTATAATGTGCTTGATCTACCATGGGATTGCCTAAACACCGTTTATTGTGTTGATGACTATGTCACTTTCAATTTAAATGTTTTGTATGCTGCATTGAACTGCTAGTATTGGACTCCTTTAAGAACAATTGTAGCTTCTGTTATAAATGATTTGGTGTTGCCAATGTAGAGCGATATATGGTTAATAAGTGCTCTGCTGCAATCTGTAATGAGTGAACCGATCGCTGCTGCTGAGTTGTTGTATGGAGCATGAATTAGGATCAAAGGCAATATATGAGACAGTCTCATACAAAATCTGTCGAATCTAAGGAATACACCATTTGCAGTAGGGGTGTTCGGATCCGGGTAGTTGATAAGTCGGCCCGTATCCCGTCCTGGATTTTATTTATCGAAGAAAGGAGTGAATCGAGAAACTCAAAACGTACCTCCTCTCCTCCTAAGCCACCATAAAAAATCACCCCACCACCACAGCAATTCACCACCCACCACCACCGCAATTCACTCCACCACCACGAACGGACAACCCAACACCACCGATAGCCCTTGGTCGTTGGGGTTTCCTTTTCTTCAACCAGTTCGGCCACAACCCACAATCGAAACCAACCCAACCAAACCCCACCTACACCAAACCGAAACCACCACCACTAGAATTTAACCAAAAATAATGAAATTTACCAAAACAAGCACGATAATTACCAGAAATCATAGCATATAAATGGATTTATTAAAAATTCAAAAAAATGAGAAAGAAAAATAAAAACAAGAAAGCATACCTTTTAAACTGAAAATGGCTTTGAATTTCACCTTGAATTTGGTTTAAAACGGTCAAATTCGACCATGAAAACTAGATCTAGAGTTTTCATGGTCGAATTTAACCATTAAAACCTTCGTTTTGGTCAAATTTCGATTTTGTGACGAAAACCTTCTTTTTTTACCATGAAAACCGAAAGAAAGAGAAAAAAAGAGGAGAAAGAGAGAGGCGTGAGAAAGAACAGAGGAAAGAGAAAGAAGAGAGGAGAGGAGAAAAGGAGAAAGAAAGAACAGAAAAAGAAAGAAGGAGAGGAGAGGAGAGCGTGAGAAGGAGAGAGAAATAGAGTAACATGGGGAAGAGGAGAGAGAAAGTGGAGGATGAGGCTTGAAAAAAAAGAGAAGAAGATAGGGTGGCTTGGTCTGGGTGGGTATCCGTAACTTTTTTTTTGAGGTTTTTTTTTAACGGGTATCCGGGTACCCGAGAATAGCAAGGTATGTCCCATGTCCCGGTCTATGAAAGTGCTATTTTTTCGGGATGGGTATCCGACCCGAAAAAAACAGAAAATTTTGAAAATTTTCCGTCGGGTTTTTTGCAGATCGTCGGAAAATCGGGACAGGACAACCGGGTCGGATTTTTTTGAACACCCCTAATTTGCAGCTATTATCCACATAATTAGTGGAGTACCAAACGGCCACAAGTTCGAATCATAGCCGCCACCAACACAAAAAAAAATGGATAACGCAACATAAAAACCCAACTCATTTCCCTCTTTTCATTTCCCTCCTTTCATTCTTCTCCTTCAACTCTCACTCTATCTCTCCATAATATTCCTTCGCAAAAAGAGGAGAGAGAAAGAGAGAGTAAGAAGAAGAAAAATGGAGTCTGCAATTACTATCTGTAATCACAATTCTCTTGCATTTTCTCTCTCTAGAAACCCTAGTTCTTCAACGAAGACTGCTGCGAAGATTGCTTCATTATCATCTAAATTGTCTAATCAATTGCTTAATTGTAGTGCTTTATCTTCGTCTTCTTTGTCGAAGAAATCATCGTTTTCTCATGTTATACAGCGTTCTAATGGAGGTTCTGTTCGGTGTTCTGTTGCTGAAACTGCTTCTACACCTTCTGGTAACTCGTTTCTTATCAATTTTGAGTATTTTTGAAGTTTTTTGTTTAATAATTGTGCTGTTTTGGAGTTAATTAGAATGAATAAATTTGATATTAGATTGATTATTGCTTTATTAGTCTATTGTGTGTAATTTTGGTTTTAGAAAGGTAATTAGCTGATTATTGCTGTTTTTGAAGTATTTAAAGTGTATAATTTTGGTTAGAGAATGTTGATTGAATGATTATTGCTTTATTAGAGTAAATTTAAGTGTATACTTTTGATTTTAGAATGGATTGTGATAATTCGTGCACTATAGTAAAACAGTCGCGGCAATATACTTCGTTGACGATAATGCATCTTTCCTTGACGGAGGAAAAAAAGTTGTTTAACTTTGTTAAGTTGACACAGTAGTTATTGAGTTCATGTTAGTATGTTACAGTACGAAGTTATGAACCATACTATGCTGTTCACGGTTTGTGAATAAAAAGATGGGTGTCAAGGGGTCATGTATGCTAAGGATTAATGTGCAGTTTCTAATTTTAATCAATATAAATGCCACATTGATTATTTGGTTGCACGATGTGTTGTGCTTGTGTTGTATATTTGTAATGTTGTGTGCTAAATTCTTCAATAAGCACTTTCGTATTTGTGGCAAATGTTGTTATTCAAGTTTCCAATGCTTCTTGTCATGATGCTTTTCCAGAGAAAAAGGGCCAGTTGATGAGGAGAAACGACATTAGGAACATAGCTATTGTTGCTCATGTAGATCATGGGAAGACAACTTTAGTTGACTCTATGCTGAAACAAGCAAAGGTGAGGATGAAAATAAGCTAAAGAGTATTCATTTCAGTTAATTTGGCTTTGTCTCATATAGTTGCTTCAATCACTTTTCTTATGCACTCTGCTTAACTATCATTTCCAGGTGTTCCGTGACAACCAGTTTGTACAAGAGAGGATAATGGACTCTAATGATCTTGAACGTGAAAGGGGAATCACCATACTCAGTAAAAACACATCAATCGCATATAAAGATACCAAAATCAACATCATAGATACTCCAGGACATTCTGATTTTGGAGGTGAAGTAGAACGCATATTGAATATGGTTGAAGGTGTTCTTTTAGTGGTAAATCTCATATACCTTTTATAATGACATGTATTTGCTTGCTTTAGCGTTACCTAATATGGTTACCCAACCCCCTCTGCAAACCATGATCTGGAATGTGCATACTATAACATAATACGTGTCACAATTGTTGAATTTACACTTGGGAGTTAATGTGTTCACATACTGATCATCCAACCCCCTCTGGAAACCAAGATCTGGAATGTGCATACTATAACATGGTACGTGGCACAATTGTTGAATTTTACACTTGTGGAGTTAATGTGTTCACATACTTATTCCATGTAACAAACTGTATAAAGCTTCTGGCAACACTAATGCGTACCTTTTGTATTACATAAGATTCCCCAAACTCAATATTTGATTTACCATGTGTTGCTATGAAATTGCCAGCCATGCATTGCTCACAAGAACATTGAGATAATGGCTGAATAGCTCGGTGAAATTGTTGCTTGATTGTTTGCATGCCCCATCTCTTGCTAGGTTTTCCTGTTTAAAACTGTGTGCACCACATCTAACAAATATACTTCTTTGAAACATATCCATCATTCAATCTTTTCTATATTATATAGGCTCAGTCAACTTTGTGAAAAGTTTGATGTAATGATCAAATTGCCATTGTTAAAAACTTTTCATTTGTAAAAGAAATTTTTAAAATTGATGCTTTTGCTCCGTTGATCAAACTTTAGATCAGAATTTGTCTTCTTTAGTACACTTCTGAGTTCTGACTAACTGAAGGGGTATGCAAAACTGTAAATGGAAGATTCACATGCTCTTCCCAATCTATCCCCTCAATTGTTGCTCAGTGCTCACATGTTCCTTATGTACAATTATGGTTCTGTATGTCTCTATCTTATTTGTAATTGCTTTCAATTGTCATTATCACAGTCTTATTAAAAATAGGATATTTGAAATTGTAAAAGT